CACTACATATGTAAAGTCATGTGTTCTAAATTCAGCTCCATCAAGGTGTAATTGACATACAAAATTGTAAGATATGTAAGTATATATGTGGTGATTTAATATATGTATACATTGTGAAAGATCCTGACATCTGGTTAATTAAAACATCAATCACCTCACATATTATTTGTTCGTGTGAGATAAGACGTATTTGGTAGTTACATCTTTTTAAGAAAATTTAATCCTTGAAAATAGAGTAAAATGCAATAAAATGCCTTCATTGATTCCTCCAAATAAGCCTAAAAACATCAAACCAAATATTTTTAAGAAAATAAATTCTTTCAATAATTATAAAGAATAATCAAAGTATCAGACCAATACAAAAAGTAGCAGTGCTCTGAATTTTTAAAATTAGAAATAAAATATTTATGATATATATACCTACATATATATGTATGAGTGTGTATACACGTATATATAAAATATAAGATCCAAATGACCACTTAAGTTAAAAAACTAATAAAAATTATGAAAATATGCACCTTTTCTGTTTTATGATGTTCAACAGATCAAATAACTTGAAGAAAACAGATTAATTACTTTCTTACCACACTCCTGGACTGTCTGGCAATCTTGAAGGGGGCTTGAATGCTCTGGTGCCTTTGTTTCAGTAGGAGGAAGACAAGACAACTCTTCATTTTGGCTTTGGTTCATTAACTGCCTCTGATGAAACCTAAAAGTCAACAACATCGGATGTGATTTAACAAACACCCAGAAAAGCAAGCTTTTCTGCTTTCTATCAGAAAGGTAGAAGTTTACAATCTTCAAAGTAGATACCTCTAGTCACCACCAAATTACAAAGTCTCATTCGAAAGCACTGGATAGGAAGGGTTAGGGAACTTATTTTTAAATCACACAGACAGACAACTCATATACATACACTTGTACAAACATTTAAGGCAGGATCTCTGATTTAAAAAAAATAAAAGTAACCACTTAATGTTTCTAGCTATATTTCTTTTCTTCTTCTTTTCTTCTTTTCTGCTCAATCCCCCCCACACCCATCCCTTCCCCCTCTCCCCTCTCCCCTCCCCCTCCAAAGCTGTCTGCCTGCTTTCTTTGCTTGGTAGTTCAGTTAATTCATTAAATTCTACATATGAGTGAAATCATATGATACTTGTCTTTCTCTGACTGGCTTATTTCACTTAGCATAATGTTCTCTAGGTCCATCCGTGCTGTTGCAAAGGATAAAATGTTCTTCCTTTTTACGGCGTAGTAGTATTACATTGTGTAAATGTACCACAGTTTTTCCATCTACTTGTCTACTAATGGACACTTGGGCTGCTTTAAATCTTGGCTATCTGTACTAATAAAAGGGTAATATGCTAATTAGACCGGGAGACCTTCCGGACATCCTTCCGGACAAGGCCATGGTGGCGGGGCTGAGGCAGAGGAGGTTAAGGGCAATCAGGCCAGGAGGGGAGGGCAGTTGGGGGTGAGCAGGCCAGCAGGGGGGGGGCAGTTGGGGGCGAGCAGGCTGGCGGGGGGGGGGGCAGTTGGGGGTGAGCAGGATGGCAGGCAGAATGGTTGGGGCAATTGGGCAGACAGGCAGGTGAGCGGTTAGGAGCCAGTGGTCCCCGGATTACAAGAGGGATGTCCCAGATTGGAGAGAGTGCAGGCCGGATTGAAGGAAACCCCCCCCCCCCCCCCCCCCCCCCCCCGCCACGAATTTTGTGCACCAGGCCACTAGTTGTAAATAACACTGCAATGAACATAGGGGTACATATATTCTTTCAAATTGGTGTTTTGGGTTTCTTTGAATAAATTCCCAGAAGTGGAATCCCTGGGTCATAAGGCCGATCCATTTTTAATTTTTTGAGGTAACTCCATACTGCTTTCCACAGTGGCTGCACCAGTCTGCATTCCCACCAACAGTGCACAAGGGTTCCCTTTTCTCCATATCCTCACTAACACTTGTTGTTAGCTATACTTCTTAATGTATTTAAAAACCCAAAAGGAACACCTACATTAAAAGAACAGATCCATTTTTTAAAAAATTCCATTCTCCCATACTGCTTGGCTCTCCCCAGGCATGATTAGCAATGCAGCTGCTGTGGAGCAAACTGGACTGCACTGTGTGGTTCAGTTCCCTGCCCGACTGCTGCAGTGACAAAGGGCCCAAAATGCTCAGAAATGTGGGCCGTGGCACTGGCCTCAGTCCTACTGACCCCACAGCAAAGACTCAGAGGTATTTTCACTGTGAATTCATTAGCTGCTATAAACAAGTGGGCTCACCTCTGCTTGCTCAGAATCTTCTCTAGCTTGGCATCCTCTGCTGTTTGAAGACCCAGTGTAGAAGTGAGAGGACAGACCAGAGCTAGATACTGGACAAGCTGGACATGCTGGCCAGGCCGATATGCTCTCCCCTTGCCTTGACTATAGAGCCATTCAGCTTTCAAACTGGAATTGGGGGACATAAAGAGAAGGTGACACCAAGTAGATAGTACTAGTATACAATTTTAAGCAACATGATCTCCCATCTTAATTACCTTTATAGCATTGTTGGATGTTTTTCATAAATAAAACTCACTCAACTTTTAATCGATCCTTCTGATTCACTCCCCTTACTCTTAACATGACTCAAACCATTTTTCTTGCTTAGGGGCATTTCCATAGATTTGTACTAATGGTTCCAAATATTTCAAAATTATTTTCAAAGAAGCAGTACGTATTCCCTCCATTCACTGTTAAACTGAAGTACCCAAATATATTACGGATGACATGTGATAATAGTATTACAGTTATTTTTTGAAGAGCCCTTACCTTTTAGAGATATATACTGAAATATTCACAGATGAAATTATATGTAATCTGAGATCTGCTTAAAAGTAACACAGGAGAAGAGGAACAGGTGAAGTATGTTTAAATGAACAAGGATGGCCATGAGTTGAAAACCACTGAAGTTAGATATTGGATTTGTGGGAGGTCATTCTATTACTGTTTATTTTTCCACTAGAGTCCCTGTGCACGGATTCGTACACGGGTGGGGTCCCTCCGCCTGGCCAGTGATCAGGGCCAATTGGGGCCCAGCCAGGGGGAGGGACCGCAGGAGGTTGGCCAACCACAGGAGGTTGGCTGTGGGAGCACACTGACCACCAGGGGGCAGCTCCTGTGTTGAGCATCTGCCCCCTGGTGGTCAGTGTGTCGTCATAGCGACTGGTCGACCGGTTGTTCAGTTGACAAGTTGTAAGGGTCGCTTAGGCTTTTATATATAGACACATATTTGAATTGGTTTATTTATTTATTTTTGTTTAACATGCCATTGCCTTAATTTTGCCATTCTTAAACTTGGCCCTCAACTTGAAGTTGAGGTTGGATCATTTTGATATACTTTGTTTCTCTGTTTTTATACAATTAACTAAGCATTGCAGATAGTTTGAAAATCACTTCCAATTCACGACTATTTTCTTGGACCTTCATATCAAGGTATCCACATCATACAAACTGTACTGTCCAAAACTGTCAAGCCACCCATGGTCTATTATAGACTGAAGAGAAACTGTCCTCTTGATAACTGGTTAAATCCTGCAAAAGAGTCATGGTGCTATACAATATAACAAGTTTAGTTAGCGATCTTCCAGGGTCACAAGAAAGGAAAGACTATTTCCTTCAGTGAGATATGTGGTATGCCAAGTAGATTAACTCAAGTCAGGTAACCCATTCTTAGTCTAATAAAATGTTTGTTCTATTTCAGGAAAACAGTTAAAATAAAGATCATTTAGAATCTTCATGAAATCTGCTCTAAGTTTCCATAAGTTCTGCCAAGCAAATCACTTGTTGAAAAGCTCTCCCTCCAAAAAGGTCCACAGCAAATGACAACTGCCAGCTTGAACATAACCAGCAAGCAACACTTCCATGTTGTAGATGGCGTGTAGTCTGGGACGAAGGAGCAACAAAAGTAAAAAGACAAAGAAGGCTCAGGCTCCAGTGCTCCACAGTATAAGTGTGAGAAAAACCATAAACTGTGGAGCATCAGTGAATGTAAAATGTTCTTCTTGCCTTTGCTTTTCATTCATCAAAAACGTACCACTATACAAATGTATTAATCCATAAAATTTTCTCCTGGGTAAAAAAACTCCCTGCCAATTAAGATACCATTGCCAACAAAAAGAAAAACAAAATTAACACTCATTCAGCTATAACATGACTTTCAAATCACTGGAATATGATATTTCTCTTGAAATTAAAGGAACAGTTTACATAATATAACAGAAGTAACAACTATTAAAAGAGAAAATTGAAAACAACCTGCTCTTTAAAAAAAAGGGTACTGAATAAAATGATACTGGTATTTGCTTTTAAAATACTCTAACAAGCCATAACCGGTTTGGCTCAGTGGAGAGAGCATCGGCCTGCGGACTGAAGGGTCCCATGTTTGATTCCAGTTAAGGGCATGTACCTTGGTTGCGGGCACATCCCCAGTGGGAGGTGTACAGGAGGCAGCTGATCAATGTTTCTCTCTCATTGATGTTTCTAACTCTCTATCCCTCTCCCTTCCTCTCTGTAAAAATCAATAAAATATTAAAAAAATAAATAAATAAAATAAAATATTGTAACAAAAAAAGTGGGGGATAGATGAAACAGGATCGGCAAAATGCTGGTAACTCTGGAGGCTGCATGGTGGTTACTGAGATGTTCCTATGTTAGGTACTCTCTCTACTTCCCTATATTTTGAATATCTTTTCAAAAAAAAAAAAAAAAAAAGAAACATCTCCAAAGTTCTGCTTCCTAACTAGGCTCTGATCTCTAAGCAATAAAGGCGTAGTTGTGTCCTGTAAATAGTAAAACAGATGGAAACAAATTCAGAAAGAAATCCAAATTCTCAGGTGCTATACAAAGGTGCTGGTCTTTCCACAGCTGCCCTTCTCCCACAGAAAGCACTAGCCAAAGCACCACAGGGGTGGGTGACTGCTCAGTGACTCTTTCTATGACACACACACTTAAGATGTGGCTACCTGAAGTCATCCAAGAACCTAGGATACTTTTCATGAGGGAGAAAAATTTAACCTGGATGTTTTTAGGAAATAACAGGCTGAGTACATATGAAAACTGGAAAGTCCTTCCTATCCTCAGGACAATCCCCAAGGTTGACCAGGAGGACGTTTTGAACACTGCGCAGGCTACTCAATGATTTTTAAGACAATAGTTCTCCCTTAGCCTAATTCCTCCCCCACAAATAGCATATTTCCAGAGATACTCTAAAACATGGGAGTACAGTGTAGACTCAAGGGTTGTCTCAGACATCACCTGCAACAGCATTTTTCTCACTAGTGTGGCATCAATAACAATCTAGGTTCTTTAATCTGAATATTTCTATTTACCCATTCTTCTATGGACTGACATTTGGGTCATTTCCCAAATGTTCCAAAGAGCTCCCAATGTTTGAAGCTATTATGAATAGGCTGCTATGAACATGCTTGTACATGTCTTTTGGTAGACAAAGCACCCATTTTTGTAGGATACAGACCAGAAGTCTAATTGTTGGGCTACAGGGAATGTATCTGTATGTTTAGCTTCAGTAAATACTGCCAGTTTTTCAAAGTGATTGAACCACTTACATTCCTAGAACAGTGTATGAGAGTTCCAATTGCTCCACGTACTCACCAACACTTATTTGTGAGTATTGTCCATCTTTTTAATTTCAGCTACTCTAGAGGGAGCTGGTTGATTTAAAGACTCCATAATAACCCGGAAAGATAATAATCTTTCTGGATTATCAAAAAGTCAAAATAGCCCTAGCTGGTTAGGCTCAGTGGTTGGCCTGTGGATTAAAGGGTCACAGGTTAGATTCTGGTCAAGTGCACGTATGTTGGAGACTGGGTGTAAGCTGACACGGTCCTTGCACCTGAAGGGGCTAGCAAGGCTGGGACCCTTACCCACACAGTTTTCCCAGACTTGTTTGGATGGCGGTTATCAGTAGAATGAGAGCAACCTTTGTAGAATGAGAACAGCCTTTCATGGCTTACCAAGAAGTCTGTAACTATTTACTGAGATTTGCTGTACCGAGAATCTGTCCTTCTGCTCTGTCCCTCCCTTAGAGATTAAGAGAAACAAAGAATACATTCCTCTTGACAGACTTCCTTCAGTGTTTTGTGTATAAAAGGCATTGCGTGGTTAATAAACTTGCTGCAGTTCCTCGATTTGAGCTGTAGTCCTCCCAATCCCGTTCTCCTGTCTTTCTTTCTTTTCTCAATTCACACCTCCCTACCTCACCCCGGTTCAACCTGTCAGGCTGGCCCTGACACACGTATCTCGGTTGCAGGCTCAATCTCATGCCCCAGTGAGAGTGTGTGCAGGAGACAACCAATCGATGTTTCTCTCTGTCTCTCCCCCTCCCTTCAACTCTTTCTAAAAAATCAATAGAAAAATATCATCAGGAGAGGAATAACAACAACAAAAAAAGGTCAATACAATGGTTATCTCTAGCAGGGAGGGGAGTTTTATGATGGCAGTGGGGCAAAGGAGATCTCTGGAGTGCTGGCTGTTCCATATGTTCCATATTCTCAGTGGGTATTTGTAAATATCCTTTTTGAGACTAGACCTGAATTATGAAACTTTGTGTTTTTTTAATCTGGGGGAAAAGAACTCATCTGAGACAGGGTTGTTAGTGTGCTGCCCTCCCCCTCTGCCTCCCTCCAGACTTCAGTGCAGGACCCTCACACAAAGGGAGGCTACCCAAATGAATGCACTGTTCCCTACTCCCTGGAGTCTCTGAAGTTAAACATTTGTAAAACATTACACAGGAAGTTCAAATTTCCTGAAAGTCACCTATTAAAACCACTTCCACAGTGTAGAAACATAACCTTTGTATTATTATTCACCGACTCAACAAATATTTTGTTTCTTAACACTTGCTTTAGTTCCTTCAAATCACTTCAATCCCTACTCCCTATCCAAAAGTAATGACTTATCATTTATTAAGCACCTAGTGTATGACCAGGTGCTATTTATATCCTTTATCCTCATTACCTTGAAAGTGAGGTAGTATTCCCCATGTTTGACAGATGAGAGACTAAGGCTTGGAGAAGCCAAGGGCCCTGCCCAGGCCACACAGCTAATGGGCGGCAGGAAATGATGTGATGAAGCCTTCTCTTGTCTCTCTTCACCAGGGCTCATCTCCCTTCCAGGTCTCTCTTTATGCCAGACTCTCATTTCTAACCATCTCTCCATGCTGCCTCCCACATGTGAAAATGTTGTCTACTCCCACAGAAAAATCCAACAACTACTTTCGCTTAAAGAAAGATCTGGAGAAGATAATCCAAGTAAATCCATATTCCAGCTTTAGAACTACCCACAGTTTGAAACAAAATAAGGTTCATGAGTACATGGCAACACTTACTACAGGATAAAGGAAAAAGCCACACCTTTTGGTAGGCAAACTAGACTTGACATATGTCCCCCACCCCGCACCCGCACCAGCACTACCACTGTGCAGCTCCTGGTTGCTATTCCTCTGTGCCCCTCGCCCGATTCAGCAACTAGACGAAACTGCAGGGAAAAGAAAAGGAAAACCCTGTGATCTACCACTCATCCCCTCACCAGGAAACCCCTCAAGGGCCTGCTGCCAGTCTCCAGGACAGAAGGGCAAAAAAAGGTGAGGAAGAATGTATGTGCTGAGTCTATAAATGCATGTACATATGCATTGAGAGGAGGAAGTGAAATGAGGCACAGAGATGAGAATAAACTCATTTCAGTTCTCACAATCCCCTCTAACTCCAACCACTTTGCCCACATCCTAGTTCCTTACCTCCCTTAAGCCTCTAATTCCACTGATCATGTGCCACTGTCCAAAAGACCCTACTGGGCAGGGTCCCAACTCCAAGGTGTGAAAGCCATCAACGATCTACAGATGAGGGAGTCCTCATTTCTACTGCTTCACAGGTAGGAAAAGGGGAGGACCAATGAGCATGTCAGCTACCAGCTCCAAATTGGAACTCTGCATACATATTCCCACAGAGTCTCTGTTATAAAGAGTAGTTGGGTCCTAAGTTACTCTTAATACTGCCTTACATATCTGGCGAATTGCAAGCTTTTGTGGGACTGATCTGAGACCCAACCTCTGGAACTGAAATTCTTTTGTAGGAAGGATAGAAAATCCTAAGCGAGCAGCACAGTCTGCTATATGACTGCACTAAGGATCTTCATTTCAAATGCACATTTAAAAAAATATTCAGTTTATTAATCTGTCAAAAGCTAGAAATGGTCTTTTTAGTAACTTGCATAATAAATGTGATGTTAAAAAGGTCATGTTCACCTTTCTTTCTGAGAAATCACATATCCATCCAGGACTCTGAGGTTTAAGCACCAGCTGACGATGTACGGCCGATAGTCGAACCCTGGAATGGAAGGTGTTGCCATCACACAAGGATTGCTCATGATCGACAACTGTTCCAATTCAGTTAAGGATGCCAAAAAAGAGATCTGGAACAAAGGATATGTCTGTTGAACAAATTGGACTATTCAGTGTCAAGCGCAAGGCTTTCGTGATTACACATCTTTGGCAATTTGAGAATGTAACAATTCCCCTCTTGTTCTGAAAAGTGACAAGTAACACTCTTATATTATCCACTGACTTCCAAATTCCAACGATATGGCCATCTGCCCTTGCTGCACAATGTCGCTAAGAAAGCATCAGCACTGCTTCCCAGCAAAGACAACTGAAAACCTAAGAGCAGCCAGAGGAAGGTGCACAGTGTGCCTTAAGCTCTTTAGTGTAGATGTCCCTCTACCTCCAATCACTTACAAATGGAATAACTGCACATTACATATGAAATTATGCCTTCACGATCCACTGACATTAAGAAAAAAATGGAAGGAAAAATAATGATCAGCTAGAGCCAGTGTTTCATCTTGATGCAGTTTCTTCCAAGAGGCTCACAGTCCAACAGTGAGCTCACAACTTTCTCCCGTGTTTCTTCTCCTTTCTCACAACTTTGCAGCTTCTTGGTTTCCAGAGAACACCCTCAAATTTTACCTCATTTAAGTCCCGAATTCCATTTTCCGCCAAAGAAAGGATAGCAAGACTTCTCGGTAGGTAAGCCGGTACCATTCTAAGAGAGGTGATGATGTTTCCATGTAAAAGCAGGGTCTTAAAAGTAAAAACAACATGACTTACAAATGAAAAGATTATAAATGGATGGATCTATTTTGACAAAAACCAAAATGGTATGTGTGAAAACTGGGACCTATTTTATTATACATCTCATAGCACACAAATCAAAGACTTAATGGTAGAAGAGTCATGGGTTGTCATCTGGTCCACTCTCTTTTCTTGTCCGCATTCTAAGCCTAAGAAAGTTTACAGACTTGTCCAAGAACACATGCTAGGTGTAGCAACTAGCATTTCATGAGATTTAGTTTATTAAAACTTGAGCAATTTCCAACAAACGGTTCATTACTTTTTAAAACATCAATATAGAGGTTGAGAAAGAAACAGAAAGAAAACACTTATTAAAACAACCATGTATAAAGCAAATTTTCCAAAAGAGAAGGAGGAAGGGAGAAAGAAAGGGAGGGAGAAAGAGCGGAAGGGAGGGAGGAGGAGAGGAAGGGAGAAAGGGAGGGAGGGAACACACAATCCATAATTTGCTCTAATTCCCCTGATCATGTGCCAGCGTCCAAAAGACCCCATCAGGCAGGGATCCCAACTCCAAGGTGCAAAAACTATCCATGATCTAGAGATGAGGGAGTCCTCATTCCTACTGCTTCAGGAAAAAGGGAGGACCAATCAGCATGTCTGCTACCAGCTCCAAACTGGAACTCTGCATGCATTTTCCCACAAAGTCTCTGTATTCTCTTGGAAACTAAAAGATTGATCAAGCTAGCATGTGCTACTCGCAGATGAAGCTGACTCAAGGTCAGCAACAATGCGGAACCAAAATCTCTCTGAACACCCAGATTCTAATAAGATAATCATGCCTCCATTTCAGAAAAAAAAAAAGTTTAATCATCTTCAGTTCATTTGAATTCTCTTAGTATCTGACTAAATCAAATTGTTTAGAATAACTACTGCATGTTCTGCTAAAGATGTGGGGAAAGCTGAGCTAATAGCACTTCTTCTAAAGCTTAATGAGTTCATCTATTATTAATATCCAATGAAGCAAAAATATGGAAAATGCCTACATATGTCTTTTGAAGCTGTGAATTCAACTGTTACTTATTTGGTTGCATGATACATTTTCCTCCATAAAATGTGCTATATGGTACAAGTTTATTTTTTAAAATTAAAGTGAAGATAATTTTGATAACTTAATAATACCTGTTACTAAAAAACAAACAAACAGCAATTCCAAGCGTCAAGAGCACAGGCTCATGTTCAGGAATAATTATGCTCAACCTCGCCAACATGCTATGTACTTACTGCAAAGCTGCTAGCAGGCTGGTTGGACATGAAGGGAATTTCATGTTTGAAGGACAGTAAATAAGAATTAACCTTAATTACAATTACCAGTTTTAATTACATCAGTTATAGACACTAAAAACAAAAAGTTTCACACTGTAATAGAATTTTTATTGTAATGAACACAGTCTGTTCTTCATATGTAGCAGGCTGCTTTAAAGTCAAACAGATAACTTTCTATTGGTATTTTAGTATAAAATTTCAGAAATGACATAGAACACACACTTACCTTCAGTGATACCAACTTAGATATATCACCTATCTGGGGTAAGTTATTGTCTGATAAATCGAGGTGCTGTAGAGCTGTGCAGCTATTGATTTGCTCCATGGCCTAGCACAAGAAAATTATTATGTCAGTTCACGCAAACAAAATCAAAATAAAACAACTTCCTTGGTTTCTTGTAGCTGAGTCTCCTCCCTCCTCTGCTTATTTATTTATTTATTTTTAAAAATATATTCTTTATTGATTTCAGAGAGGAAGGGAGAAGGAGAGATAGAAACATCAATGATGACAGAGAATCATCGATCGGCTGCCTTCTGCATGCCCCCTCCTGGGGATTGAGCCCCCAACCCGGGCATGTGCCCTTGACTGGAATCAAACCTGGGACCCTTCAGTCTGCAGGCCAACGCTCTATCCACTGAACCAAACCAGCTAGGGCTCCTCTGCTTATTATTGGAAGCAGAGGAGTGGTACTTAGCAAGAAAAAGAGAAAGCAGTGCTAACGGAATTTGGCAAAAGGTTATGGAGCAAGCTTCCACCTTCATTATTGCTCTCAGAGTAGAGGATCATATCATCCAAGTTATTCAGAACTTAAAGAAACCATAGTGATGTCACATGATAGCTGGGAGGGCAAGGACTTTACAAGTTAAGAGGGGAGCCAAACTCCCTGGATTCACATCCTGACTGTAATCCTGGCTGTGTGACCTCAGGCAAGTTACTTAACTTCTCTACTCTTTGGTTTCCTCATCTATATAATGGGCATAATGACACTACCTACCTCATAGGCTGTCATGAGACTGAGTTAATACAGTTAAACTGCTTAGAATAGTACCTAGGCTAAATTAATTGTTCAATAAAAGTCAGCTGTTAATAATATCATTTAATCCAGTCCCTTCATCTAGCATATTAAAAAGTAAGACACAGAGATAGTTACTAACTTGCCCAAAATTATAGAGCTCCTAAGTGGTGGAAGCAGGATTAGAATCCAGAACCCCACTTTAAAAACAGTATATTCTCCACTATACCATTAAACATTTACTTAAAGCTTAATGAAGCATAATATAGTCTTTCTCCTAACATTTCATTCTGTTTGATCCATTTTTCTAAGTATAAAATAGATTCCTTGTTCACATTTAAAAGAATATTATACTGCGTTATGTGTTTCAAAATGAGATTTTTTTAGTTTATGTTAACTGAAATTATCCCTGCACAGTGTGAGTGGGTACTTTCATTTTTTTTTTACTCTATTCATTTCTAAACTGCTTGAATTTATTTTTTACAGTGAATACTTTTGTAAATTGAAAAAACCTCAAACATAATTACTTTAAAAAACCCACAAAACAAAAAAAACCAGTTCACCTTGAGATTATTTCCTGCCAAGTTCAGCCACTCCAAATGTACTAGTTCCTTTAGCCCTTCCACATAGCCAATGCTATTATGAGGCAAATTTAACACCCGGAGTTGGGTCAGTTTGGCCACACCCATCATCCGTACCAGCCGATTGTTAGCCACTGACAACTGTGGAAAGGAAACATATCATTACTCTTCGGAATAAAATATATAGATTATTTTCACATTAGGGTGCTTAAAAAGATTTATGTGGCCAAACATGTCCAAATATATAAACCCAATCTGTACTTTTCACATATGCTGTTTAGGTATATATTCTAGAGTAACTATTAGTTTGTTGGTGCTGCTGCTGCTACTTCTAAGCAATGGAAAATACACATAACCCTCAGCAATAACATCTCCTCCAATTACTAAAGGGAAAACACTGTTAACAGCAACTACTTGAGAATACAAGCTCCACAGAATGCAGTCCTTAAACTGTCTCAGTCAAAATCTAGAACAGTGCCAGACATATACGGGGCACCCAATTACATTTGTTGAATGAATGAACATTTTACCCCTATCATGAGGTAAAAGGCTATCTTAACACAATATTTTGCTAACATAAAATGTTGGCTTTTTAAAAACAAATGCCTCTTTTTCTAGTCCACCCTAAATGTAGCACATATGTGTTCATCTTCAGGAGAAACTGTCATGTAAAGATTTAAGGCAACATTTACTACTTTCCAAGCCTGCACACTTTTTGCTTGGTTATTTTATTAGATATAATAAACTGCTTCTAATATAACTATTTCCCCAGATACAATACCTACCTGTATTAATCGACTGCATTTCTCAAGATTTTCCAATTTGATAATCTGATTTTTATCCAAAATCAAAGTATGAATGTCAGCTTCACAGGGTAAGTTTGCACTTAATTTCTGTAGCCCTTTCCCTGACCAATTTACCACTAACCCTAGAAAAGAGAAAGGAAACTATTAGAAAACACAAATACTACCCCTGAGCACAGGGATGGAAAATTATATATATATATATATATATATATATATATATATATATATATATATATATGCCTAAGCAATCAAACGATGACCGGTCGACCAGTTGTTATGTTGCTCAACACAGGAGCTGCCCCCTGGTGGTCAGTGCACTCCCACAGCCAACCTCCTGCAGTCCCTCCCCACCCCCCATTGGCCCTGATGGCAGGCCAGGCCAAGGGACCCCACCCGTGCATGAATTTGTGCACTGGGTTGCTAGTTATACTAATAAAATCCCATGCAGAGTTACAAAACACTAGAGCACAATAATTATCAAGATTTTAAAATGAAAGCAATAAAGTTTTAAAGGACCACAGATTGAATTTATTCACTTGTCCTCAGAAATATCAAATTACACCAAGATCTGTGATATTCTACTCAAGTTCTATGATGAAATACTTTCGAATTCTTCACATTTAAATATATACTAGTATTTCCACATTCTGTGGCTAAATAATGATAGTATTTTCAAGTGGAACTCATCTTTTGCTAGAGATTAACCTGCATACAGTCCAACTACCAGTATATCCTATAGTGCCCCAAATCAAAGTATATTCTTCAGTTAATTTATCCACAAAATGGGAATAATGCACCTAATTCATTAAATTTATTAAATTAAATTTAATAATTCATTAAATTATGAAAAGAGAGCACTTAGCCCCATCCCTAGCACACAGCACTCACTAAAGTAATTCGGTACAAAAGACGTTCAAATTCCGGCTCCACTACTTCACCATTGTGGTGTCTTGGGCAAGTTACTGATCTCTTTGGGGCTCACTTTTCTAATCCGTAAGATAGATTTGATAATAATACCTGCCTTACCATGGTGTATACAGAGAAAACAAGATGATGCAAAATAAAATAAAAAAGCAATGGAAACGTCTTCTAGCTCACATAAACGTGCTCTATAAATGTTAATTGTTCCTACTCTAAGTTGCCTTGGGAGGGCTGGGGAGGTGGAGTTTTTGAGAAGCAGTTATCAGAGGGAGGCGGGGCCCTGAGAAACTGCCAATTTCACAATTATACCCAAATTAAAACTACGGAGGGAAATAATTATTCGAGAATGCGCTCCTGAAGGGATTCAATGCTTTCCCATTATCTAATGGCTTCTAGCATTTGGGGTTGGGGGCTGGAGGGAGTCATGGGATTTTGAGAATTTGGAGCAAGCTGTGTACTGTGTCCCAAGAAAACGCACAGCTTTTGCACACAATTCCGAGGAGTCCACAGACTGCTTAGAACCATCGATTGCCCCCCTGCCCCCCAAAATATAATGAGCCCCTGTTCTAAGCCGTGGAGAAAGGCTCCACTCCACAGCCGGGCCCTCAAACTGACGGCACAGCCGAGCCTCAGAACTGGAAGAGCTGTAACCAAAACAAAGGAGCTCGGTTCCCGCGGCTCCAGGTCACAGACGCACCCGCGCCCCGCACTCCGCGCCCCGCCGGGCAGCGACCAAACACGGCCCGCGGGTCCCGTCGACAGAAGCAGGGGTGCAGAACTGTAGGCTCTGGATCACCCCTAGATTTTATCAGAGCCACCGGACACTTCCAAGAAAGGGTTCAACGTCAGTCTAGGGAGCTGTGCTTGATAGAGGGTGTCCCGAATGTTCTAGAACCGAGGGAGAGGGGGACAGTAACGTGAGAGCGGGAGATCCTGCAGTTTTCACTTGGGCACCCAGAACTCAAAGTAAACACCCTAGAAAGGTCACCGCAGTCCGAAACCCACCACCCAAGTAGACTAAGGAGCGCGGGATCCGGGATGCCTGCGCGCAATGAGCCTTGGGGGTTGTAGTCCCCCGCCCGGGCCTTGCCTCGACGCTGCAGAGCTAAGCAGAGCATAGGGACTACAACTCCCAGAGGGCAGCGCGCCTCCCCGATGTCCACAGGCTCCCATCAAAAGAACTGGTCCAGAACTGCACCCCTAAACCCAGGCTTCTTTTCTCTACCAGGTAATTATTTACTTCAGTTCCACAGAGTAAGGCTTAGGACTCAGGGGTGAGGATCGCCTTACCTTCTCCAGGAGGCAAAGCCGCGTCCACACGCGCTGCCGCCATACTTCCCGCTTGCTAATAACCCCAAGCAACCGTCCTCCAGCGGCTCCCCTTGTAGTCGGACGGAGGGGCGGGAAACTACAGCTCCCAGGATGCACGGCGCTCAGACGGCCCAATTGGCTGCCTACACCTGATGCTGAAAACCCCGGATTAGAATCTGAGCTGCAGAGAGTTTAGGAACCCTGGTCAACTCCCTTATTCAGGTGAGCAAACTTTATCGTTAGATGATCATTTTACTCCCTTTTGTAGGTATTTGCGAAATTTGACACTTTTACTGTCGGGCTGATTAGATGATCTCTACTTAATGCAGACCAAATTTGAGAGCTCATTTGCCAGGAGTCTTTTATTGGCTCTCCTTTTTGGACAATTCTGTATAAATGGAAAGTTTCCAACTCTGCTCTGGGTATGTGTTGGACTATCTTGTTGAGACCATCAAAATGGATACATTTTATCTGAAAATTTAGTGAAAGCATGCTGCGATAGAAACTTTTCTCCAAGGTAGCCGGGTAATGAATGATCTGGGAGAGGGATCCTGGAAGCCCGGGAGGGTACTTGAGGAGCACAGGTTCGTACAAGTTTACAGCAATAGCAGAACCGGAATTTTTTGTTGGTTCATCTGACCTGGGATCCTGAGGAAAGGGACAAAGGATTTATTTAGTGAGGTTAGCTAAGTATAGTCAAGGCTCTTAAAAAGAGAATCGCTGGATGTTCCTGGGCACAGTCCTACATGCCCAGGTGAAATCAGATACTACGGCTTTTGCATCTAAAATCGAATCGCTACTCTTTAACTGAATTGCCTCATCGTGTATATATGTTACACAAGCTCACATTCGTTTGGAAGCTACTTCTAACCGATACCATGAACAACTCAACAAGGTAGCATTTTGGGCAGGCCCGAGTCCACAAGACAGTCTGTCCTTCCCATCAGCACAGTATACCTGATCTATGTGGCAGCTGATCACCCAGACTCATCTCCCCCATCTCTCATCTGCCCACTGCTACTGGCAGGGTCTAAGTAAAACAACACCTTTTATCGTGTTAATCCCCTTCTCACAAACTTCTCTCTTGCAATGGAGCTTTCAAGGGCCACCAGAATCTGGCCTCACCCTACTTGCCACCATTCATTCCACTAGTTTCTACTTAGTGTTTCTGAGTTAGAGATTGAAAAATGAAACATGCTTTAGAAAGGTTAAGCTGCTCGTATAACAAGGGTGAATTGAAAAATAGAATAGTGGCAGGAAGGAGACTATTGTATAGTGGATGGTAACCTTTAACAGAGCAGTTTCAGGAGAGTATTATATACAAGATTAGATAACACAAAGTTAAGAGACTAGGTGGAAAGGAAACAGCATTTGTGGATAGATAAACTTTTCTCAACAAAACAAAGGAAGTTCTCTAATCAGGATGAGAAGTTATATTTGGAAGAAGTAAGTACAATGAAGTATGGTTTGTTTTGCTATCAAATCCAATGGCAACGCATTATATTTTTTAGGCAATGAACCTCTATCTGTGCGACAAGAATACAATATATGTTGACATTACAAGATCAAGAAGTTTTCACAGTATCCCCAAATCAAAGAAAACTGTCAGAAAAATTAACTGGAATGGCTCATCATAGTGAAATTTCTTTACAAAAAAGAAGAAAATGGAAGGAAGGAAGGAAGGAAGGAAGGAAGGAAGGAAGGAAGGAAGGAAAGAAGGAAGAAAGAAAATAGTATTGTTATTTACTTATGGCACGTGGATTAAATGATAATTCATTGTAGCAGCTGAAGAAATGTACAGTACTTATGGCACGTGGATTAAATGATAATTCATTGTAGCAGCTGAAGAAATGTACAGTAATCAGAAAAAATAAACCTGATTAAGACCATTAGCCTTTGGTTGAGAACAGCTGCTTGAAGTGTTGAGGCCACTGGGAACAACAATAGTCAATTTAAATTATTTAGTGAAGGCAAGTTATTTTGAGTGGTTTTTTGGGTTCTTAATAAGTTGACAGGTGTTACTGATAATGCTCATTTGTACTTGTTTATTCAAAGAGTCAATGTTTGGAGTGATTGAATACTTAGCCCCTGTGAATTGGCTGTTGGCAACCAGTGAAAATATTTTAAAAAGAATTTGAGAAAACTCTAATTAAAACACCTAAGGTGAAGTCAGCTATAATGTGTTACAATTTATGTAAGCAGAAACAGGCTTATTTTGACAGGTTTCCACTTGTGAAAATGTAAGGAGTTTAAATTCTATGGTTATGACATTAATGTACTATATTATCAATTAACATGTATTTTGTGGAAAACATTTTAATTTTTCATGAATCACTGAACCAGTAGTTTCAACAATAAACTTCATTTGCTCTCATGGACTTAACTGTTGTCATTACACATATTTTGTCACCATCAGCAGCTAAATATCCTGACTTGCCCTACCACACAGCATTTGATGACTTACCAGTGGTAACATTTTCTTGTGAGTTTTGTTTTTTAGCTCAGAGCCAGGATTGAAATTTTTTTCTAAATGAGAAGAACCTCCTTTAACCACTATTATGGAACACTAACTGGGTGGCTTTAGAATTAATTTTTGCTCATTGTGATCATTCAATGATATTTCTTAATGAATTCAACTAAACTTGTAAGACAACACAGCCCTTACATGCAAAACTTACTCTGTGGTAAAGGCATTTTGACAAAAAAGCAAGATCTCCATTCCCACACAGATTTGAAGTTTTATTTTTCATGCTCAAACTACAGTTTTAGCAGTATATTATAGAGACCTCAATGCAAATGCAAAAAAAATTTTATATTTCAAGACCCATTTACTTGTGCCATTGAGCAGCTTTCACTTAACTTTAAATGAGAAATGATTGTATCTCCCACGCTAAAAGAAAAATGTCCAGATAATAATCTAATCTTATCTAATAAAAGAGTAATATGCAAATTGACCATCACTCCAACACACAAGATAGCCACCCCCATGTGGACACAAGATGGCTGGCAGGGAAGGGCAGTTGGGGGCGATCAGGCCTGCAGAGGAGGGAAGTTGGGGGCAACCAGGCCTGCAGGGAAGGGCAGTTGGGGGCAATCAGGCCGGCAGGGGAGGGCAGTTAGGGGCAATCTGGCTGTCAGAGGAGCAGTTAGGCATTGATCAGGCTGGCAGGGGAGTAGTTAGGGGGTGATCAGGCTGGCAGGCAGAAGCAGTTAGGGGCAATCAGGCAGGCAGGCAGGCGAGCAGTTGGGAGCCAGCAGTCCTGGATTGTGAGAGGGATGTCTGACTGCCCGTTTAGGATCGGGCCTAAACAGGCAGTCAGACATCCCTCGAGGGGTCCCAGATTGGAGAAGGTGCAGGCTGAGCTGTGGGACACACTCCCCCTGCACGAATTTCATGCACCAGGCCTCTATAATTGCCTTCGAAGAGATTAATATGCTCAATTTAAGTCACATGCCCTTGGATTGATCTCAGTATTGGGCAGTGTTTATCTGGGTGAAAAGACTAAATTTGGGTAAAAGATTAAATGTTTAAAATCTCATTACAGATCAGGATTATCAGATGAACATTTTCAATTGATTTTGATGATAACTTTGAGCCCTAATTAACCCCTTGAGTGCCGGGGAGCGCAATCGTGCTCCTCCTGTCTTTCGCAAAAAGTGCCGGGAGCACTAGCAAAGCTTCGAAATGGTGTCCAGTTCTAAGTCTGCTTTTATTAGTGATGATGATATTGCTAAATATGTCAATGTAGTAAAGGTTTCCTTAAGTTTTTGAATATGTAACTTCATTTACTTGCAATTCATAATTTTTTTCCTAAACTGCTGTAAAATCAGCAAAAATGCCTTGGCAATTTTAGCATAGTTCCTAGGATATTGGTTGGCACTCAAAGGGTTAAGAGAAATGTTATTCATCTTTCCAAAAAAGAATTTCATTCTCTTTAGTAGACCTGTTCTACAAAAACTTGTGCTCAATATTATTCTGTTTTACATTTCATCACTGAAAATTTGGAAATCAATTTTCTCTCTTGCCTTATAAATACCTATATAATCAATTTTTGCTTCTTAGCACACAAAGCCTAAAATATGTACTATTTGCAAACCTCTGTTCTGGAGGAAGTAAAATCTGAGTGGGAAGCGAGTCAGTGGAAGGGAAGAAAGACTTCCAGCCAAAGAAGACGGCTTGGACATATGAGTGAGAACCAATAGGATGTGTGAAAACTAGTTAAGTTAGCAACACCAAGTCATAGAAACATGCTTCCTCTGCTCACCTTTCTGAACCACCAGCAATTCCAGTTTCTTCCAGAAGGTGGCTCCCTCCATTTCCCAAAATTTTCTTATGAAATTTCTAACACACAGAAAATTTGAAATATTACAGTAAACACCCACAAACTCTTAGATTCTCTTATCAGCATTTTGTTATGCTTGTTTTATCCCTTATCTATCTATCCGTTCACCCATCTTGCTTTCTGATGTATCAGTACTCCTCCCCCCATATACTTAGCAAGTATTTCATTAACTAGTATTCAGTATTTACTCACAATTTCCATTTATTTATTTATTTATTTATTTATTTATTTATTTATTATTTATTTATTGCGGTGACACTGGTTAACAACATTATACAGGTTTCAGGTGCACAATTCTACAACACATCATCTGTACACTGTACTGTGTGTTCATCATCCCACGTCAAGTCTCTGTCCATCACCACACTTTCCTTTCTTTTAAAGTAAGATATACATACAGTGAAATGCTCAAATCTTGTATCAACATTTTCTGACTTTTGACATATTGTGAAGTTAACCCTAAACCCATCAAAATACAGAACATTACCATTAACACAGAAAGTTCCCGTATACCCCTCCCCATTCGATCCTTCCTCTCCCTCCCAGAAGCAACCACTGTTCTGATTTTCCTTTTTTCACCACAGATTAGTTTTGCATGGCGTAGAACTTCATATATACAAAGTGATACAACACATACTTTTTAAAAAGTCTTCTTTCACTTAGCATAATGGTTTTGGGACTCAAGTTGACATGTAAAATCAATACTTTATTCCATTTTATTTCTGAGTAGTAGTCCATTGTATAAGTATGAATATTACGTTTGCTCTTCTAATCACCCATGGATGGGGCACCTAGACTGTTTCCTGTGGGTATTATGAATAAAGATGCTATG